CGGCCTTGCCTCAAGATAATGGAAGGCATTCCCACTGTATTGCCAGGCGCTTGAGAATGCCGACAATGGCGACAGAGTGCCTGAATCTGAAATGTTTAGGCAGTACGCTGGTGAAACATACTGACGCTTCGCAGCCAAGCGGTCACCAACAATGGCGTGTGGGCTCGTTATAACGCGATGTCGCCCGCACCTACGTCTGCACCTACCTGATTATGTGATAACTGCGGGGTTTCTTCAGGGAGTCACTCGTTGGTCCGATCGCTTTTTTCTCGTCCAGCTGTCGTAGCCTGGTCTGCAGACTGAGTGTAAGAAAGTGCACCGCATTTGGTGTAAGATGGTTTATCTATTAACATTAATTGTTTGTACGGCGTAGCCTGAAAAAAGCGACTGAACCTAGTCAGGCTTGAGCAAATCGTGTTCAATACCTTTGGATGAATCGAAAAACTAGTAACGAAGTTCCTTCATTTGGACACCGATGACACTAACTAGGCATGAACGGTGGATCGAGAGAAACAGTAGAATATATGCAAAGAAGAAAGCCGTTAATGAAAAGTAGGTCTTGGTCACCTTACATACATTGTTAAGGGAATAATTCTTCTCACCAAAACCATAAATATTGCTGTTGCTGACCATGGCCTAAAGACAATAGAAAATCACCATTAAATAATGTACGCAATTTCTACAGGAACACTATTAAAGCAGAGGACAAGAAAGAAAACCCGGTATCCAAATTCATCTTGTTTCATTTGGTGACACATTTGTCAGCTTTGGGTACATGATATAACTGAGCAATTCGACATCGATAATTGAGTTCATACTATTCCAAAGTTTATGCTTGACTGGATTGCACGTATCTCGTTTGAAACGCTGTTCCGTACATTGGAGTAGCAGAAAAGACAAAACTCTGTGACTGTTTCACTTTTTATCGCTTCACTACCACCCTATTGTTGCTAATTCACCTCTGATAAGTTGTTCCTTCTTTCATTCCTGTTAATACACCTGCAGAACGTATTTCTGGTAATGTTACCATAGAAGACGACTAGGTTTACTTGCATTTGATGCAGCCGTATTGTAATAAGTTTTAAAGCAACGCCTCGGTCCGTATAAGCAAATGTGGTGGAATATCTTAAGAGATGCTGGGTAGATAACCGATCCACTTGCTCTAAAACTATATGCTCATGAAGCAATGAGCAATGTTCATGATGTTAATCAAATATCTGAAATCCACGTTTTGTACAGAAGATTAGTGCTTCTACCAGCTTGCACTGCAATACGTCGTGGGTGCTGAGTCAATTTCTGGAGGCTTGAATGGTGTCCCTAAGTCGAGGATGTTATGCCGGTGGGACCCTTGCTTAACACAAATGACAAGGGAACCTAACTTGACTTCACATCAGTAGAACACTGAGTACCATTTGTTAACGGACACCACGAATCAAGTGAATGTAGAGCATAATGGATTGCGTTGTGTATCTCACTTATGCTAGTGGGGCTAAGGAGGTAGATACCTTTAATGTCAGCGGTAAATAGAAAAGGTTTTCCAGTCAGGGATATCAAGACTTATACTCACATTTAACGGGCATATTGTATTAACTGTGATAATAGGGGTAACAAAAGGCCCACGACATTGGCTAGCATCACGCAACTCGTGAGCGTTTTCTAGACGACTGTTTCATGTTGGAACTGGACAACCTGGATCCTGTTAGTGTAGAGGGAATCGAACCACGAAGATATGGGGTTGTGAGTCCTATATACAGTTAGTTTGGTTGAGGTGAGTATGCGGAACGCGATTAAATCCATCTAGCGTGTCAACATAGACAATTTTGGCTAATGAACTAATCAAGAAATGAGGAAACTCGATCTGCTAGGTTATACAGGATCACGAACGTAAACCATCGCGTTGACAAGACTTAGAGTCGTTAAGTACTCGGCAGTTTGGACTATGTGACCAGAAGTCTATTTGGAAAGGACAGGTGTGTCCGACTGGACAGGGCATGGTTTGAAAGAATGGACAAACGCAACATTCCACCACTGGGTTGGCCCAATAACGGGTCTAAGAAGTGGTAAACTAAATAAGACCTAACAGTCTCTGTCGACTCGAAGTTGGACGCATTTACCCCCCACAAACAGGACACTATCGTGGTACATCAGTGATGTTCAGAACATAATAATAAAGCTGATGGGTGCTTACTGCTGCGCTCTTGAAAGGAAGTTATTAAGCGGCTCATGATCTATACATTCTGGGTTCACCAACTGAAACCATGCCTAAACAAGATTCGTTGCAGACAGCCGCCACACATCCAGAAAAGCGCTAGACAATACTTTCTTCTTTTGGGGATTTAGCAGTAGCACGCACTCACCGAATCCTGTCGGATTCGAACCTACGATCTTACTCTTGCGAACCAGCGACTTATATGTTTGAGTCATGGGTGACGGCAGTGGACCGTCATAACTGTTATCTAGCTGCGATATGGTGCGGCTCATCCTCCACTGTCATGCGTATTATGAACTTCGATTGGTGGCGACTTGCAAAGGTAGTCGCTGCTCTGGGGGCCAACCCTGTCCTCTGCACGTTCATAACATGCATGGGAGTGGAAGATAAGCGGCGCCATATCGCAACTAGATATCAGTCATAGCGGTCTATTGCCATTACCCATGCTCTGTGACATAAGTCGCTGGGTCGTATGAGTAAAGTCGTGGATTCCAATCCGGCAGCGTTCGGCCGGTGCTCCCTATTGATGAGTCGCAAACGGACGAAACAGCAGTCTAGCGCTTTCCTGGATGTGTGATGGCAGCCTGCTTGAGTCTAGTTGTGACGAATCTTCACAAAACCCAACAGTACCATACTTAAGCATTACAGTGTTCAAGAGTAAGCAAAGTGGTAAGGCTATCTTATTCGTGTTTTCCTTATACATAAACTATACAATAGGTCCGGGGTATATCATCCCAATTTACTGAATACGATTTTAATCAAATACATGTGACAAGTAATGATCAAATCATGTAATTCTACATGACCTACACCACATGCTTTTTCAAGCGTGTTCCATTTCTTCCGAACCATCGATAGGCCGACGAAGTTTATTTGGTAAAGACTTACATGCGGATTGCATGTCGTTTGTGAGTTAGATTTATTTTTCTATTTAACCTGCGCGTAGGAGTACTCAGTGCATTGTGGAAGCAGCCGCGCTGGTCTATTTTTGGCGCAGCTGAAAGCATTGTATCTAAATCTTTCCATTTCCTCCGAAACATGCTAGATAAAAGTGCCAGTTAAAAGATTAACGATTCCGAGCACTAATTTGCCATAACTTCTTACTTCAAATCATCTGGAGAGTGAAGGTTGATAGGGAAAACAAACAACATGACCATGTGCCACAACGTTAGGCGACAAAACCAAATAAACTCCTCGTAACGTGTTCTTCTAGATGTTCCTCGTTAGATTTTTCTGATATCAACTAGTAATGCATCACAAAATATTGGACACTGGCGTGTTTCTCTGGTAAAGTAACTGATCCGTTGGTTGTTAGCCAGTACAGGCAACTCCCACCAAGTACGTGGGGAATGTGTAGCTTAGGTTGTAAAACAGTTCATAGCAAAAGACTCAGTGTATTTCCCAATGGCACATGAAAACTGGAATTACCAAATAATGATGTACGCTAAGTGAAAGTCCTTTTTAAGTACTCGTGCGTGGACAAACTTCGACACTCAATGTCAATGTAGACCGCTATTCACATTGAAGTGAATCTTGTTCAGCACGATCAATGGGACGTAATTGATGAAGCAGATGGGAACTAGGTGTTGCCCGCCAGAAAACTACGCTCCATGACGCGTTTCGTCCTCATTTGTTCTCAGCAGATAGAGACGGCAGATCTAAAACCCGGGACCATTGAAATCTTAGTCAAAACCTCTACACATTTGCCTAGGGCGCCAGGACGGACAAGGCTTGTCACAACGGTTACTGACTGATTGAAGTGTCATTTTGAGGTATTCGTTAGGTGAATAGATTGCGACGCGGCAATATCAATATAGACTGTGATACACATTGAAGTGAACCTCGGCCACTTTGGTTACTGGAACTGCGTCTGAAGCGGATGAGTAGAAAGTGTTGCTCCCTCACTTCAGATGCGGTCCGAGCTACCGAACTAAATTTCACTATTTCAGAAGGTAAAGTGGATGACAGTTTACTGTAACTTAAATTACAGGACGTTTCGCTTTTGACATAGAGTAAATTCCAAGATATCGATTGACCGAAATCCACTTCGGAATGATTCATGGTCACACTAGAGATCACTTATCACAACCCATTCCTAAAACAATTACTTCAAAATGACTCCCAGTCAACCAGTAAGCCTAGTGAAAAGCGTTTCATGTCGCGACTCGTTGGCTTTGGTGTAAAGCTTTTGAATGAATTCCTAACATCATGGGTTCGAGTCGTAGCTCTCCTGCCAAAACCTGACGGATGCGGATACTTAAGAAACCGATCTCGTAGTGAGTTGTTTTGAGCGGGCAAAATTCAACGATGATGTACGCTAATCCAACTGAACTCAGTCCCTTTCTGTTAATCCAACAGGCATCATCCATTTTTAAATCCGAAAGCCAACAAGAATCCCGTAAAAACAATGGAAATTTAAAAGATAAATTACGGCAAGTAGATGGTTTGAATTAAAGCCCAGCCACACGAAACCGAGTCCCAAATTTTCTTTTGATTTGTTGCGCTTTTTATTCCTACAGACAATGTTATTACGTTGCAGCGTATGGTTAGACTATTGAGGAAATAGCTTGCATGGGGTTGTCAACTGAAGTGGCTTGTGTTACACCTCAGATTTGCTCTGAGATATGCCACAACTGTCTCGTTTCCGTTACCACGGTATTTAACTGACTAGGTAACTCTGGTACACTTCTAGGTAAATCCAGCCAGTTTCATTATCAGACAGACATTTCCTTCCGACTTTGAGTACATCAACATTTTTCAGTTCAGTGTCGTTCTTCTTTTCTATTTCCAGCTGAGCAAGAGCGCGTACAGAAAAAAACTTTCACCAACTGGCTGAACACATACTTGTCCAATGTGAGTAAAGTTCCCACTACCAGTCTCTGAAACTCCTTCCCAAAAACAACATACATCTCCGTTAACCCCAGTACACCGATACACCCTGATAAACCTCTTATATTGCCATGGAAACTGCCGCTGATGGTGCTTGATCTGAAATTCTCAGAGGGCCGATATTCACTAACTGGCGGTCGATACCTTAGGCCCTGATAATGATAAGCAACAAATGCACCCAACCTGGATGATAACTCAAGGAAATTTAGGGAGTTCACTCTGAAGTTGCATTTTTGGGAAAGGTGTGTATGCACAACCCTGACCAGAAAATGTGGCAGAGTAGATAACCGAGACTATATGGAAAAGGGTTTGGGCTATGATAATCATCAGTATACAGATTAGCTGGAGATGGTAAAGAATTCATCTGTATAGTATAGAAGGACCAGTGAGCAGTCCATGTTTGGAATCCCCACCAAGTGACGCTTGGTTATTCAAGATATAAGCTTGACCCTCCCTACTAAGCTATAATAACATAAAAACCTGCATCCTCCAAAGTAGTTTAAATTGTTTTCAGCGTTCAAGGGTATCGTGTGTATTTCCAAAAGGATTTTGAACATACATATTTATGTCCAGCTGGCAACTCCATGGTAAGTTACAAGTCCCATTCAACGAGCATGTTTCGATGATTGTAACAAGGATTCATGATTTTGTAAACCACAAGAACTCGAAAAATTTGATCACAAACGGATTACAAGTTGGTGCGACTTAGTGGCTTACAGTTCATTGATAAAACTGGCTCGGAATAGCTGGATTTGCTATAACCAGGTAATGAACGTAGTGTGATCATCTTTGTTGAAGTGACTTTCAATGGAAGTTTACTGGGATTAATCACCTGAGTGAAACATTCTGATACGGGTTATCCACGAATAAACAGACAACTGTTCGCAATGCATAGCCATGCTGCTGCAACGGCAAAGACTGCTTTCACGTCTGTCGAAATGCAGCAGCTTGTGGTACTATGTACTGAAACGCTCTTTGAACTACCGAGACTTAGATGCCCTTACTGAAGTTAGGCATTTCCGGCAGGCACTGCGTCAACTCACAGGTAATTCCCATGCATCGGCTACGTGACCTGGATACCACTTGCTCGCTGCTGAAAACTTGTTGATGAATGTAGTTTTCGGTATGCACCCATTTATTTGCTTGCTGTTATGATTTCGGTTAAAGTTTACCTATGCCTAAGGAGAAACCGAGGGTATGACCAGATAGGGGTATAGAAGTCATGATTATCTTTGAATTAGCCAATGCTCCATAAAACGTATCACCAGAGAGCAGATGAATCAGTGTCGGCAATCCTGAGAGTGGACGGTGTCTAGGAAAGTTAGCTGGAATATATCCTATGGGGAGCAGGTACGTTTTGCAAGCATCGCATTCCTGTTAGATCGGTGACTACTGGTCATTCAGTGACGAGTATACCAGACGCTCATAAAGCAGTGACCGAATTAAATTGAGCTCGATTTCGGAACCCCTCCTTGAGTTCAGCAGTGTGACGGAAAAATATGCCACGTGCTCGCCGTAGAGTAGCCACCTTCACGATTTGGTACTTAGCAAACTTCAATCACACTTGACATGGAAGCACAGGATGATGGCCAAGCATGCGGGCTGTATATCTGCCGCATTGGATGATGCTGTCTGATCTGAATCAAGTAACGATACTTTGTATCACAAGTAGCCGCAGTCCTTGTGACCTTGACCCCGATTTGGTGAATGGCAGGTGTGTTACAAGCCCTCATCCTGTTGCGCTTTAATAATGCGCGTCGACAGCGTTCACTGTGGTTACCCTGGATGCGGACGATTTCTATCGTCTTGCGCAATTCAGAAGTGCCGCTGTCTTAATTATATCATATGAATGGACTGGAATATTGATCCACTGAAGTGTCGCGAACACAAATCAATCCAGCGTGAACGCAATCCAGCGGTATCGTAAAATTCTGCTAAGGTAGTGGCATGAAGCGGTAGAGGTCGAAAAGTATCTAAAGGACTAATGGCAAAACTAACGAGAATTTTCGTATTGATCTACACACATAAAGATCGTTTACCCATGGAAGCCGAATGGGCATAGCGACACCGACAGTCGACATGCGAATGGTTCTTTCATAAATCGATACACTGTGACTCCACTCTTTTGCTTTCGAGTGCCCTATCAGCAGAATTAGATTCGCGCCATCCAAGTTGAACACACTAGTCAGCACAAAGATCGGAGCATTCGAATGACCACTAATGCGTACACCCCACGGGAAATAATACACCCACACGTCTGTATTCGTGTTGAGAAAAGACGAAACCGTGATGCACTTGCTACCAGCAATATTAACGCAACATACAAGGATATTAATAACAGTATAGGTGCGTTAACTATATTGAATTGGAAGACGTATTTCGTTAGAGAACGTCGCCATTTCGTGCATTCTAATCAAACGCAAGTCTGCAACAGACATAGCTAAATCAATACAATGTCATACGCAATAGTAGATAGGAAAGCGCTTGTGTTACTTGCATAGGCTCAGAACCACAGTCAGCTGTTTTTAAATGCACAGCGGTGGTCGCTTGCTATCGATAACGATGGTCGATAAGGACCGACTACGACTCTCTATACAAATTCACTAGAGCGAACCCCGATTACTTCGAGTAAAACTGAGCTCAACAGAGGAGACAGAGACAGTCCTACTCTCAGCAGTTCGGCTTCGCAGTTCATCGAGCGGGGTAAGCGTACTACCAGATATTCCTTGGAAATAGCGGTCATAGAAAAAAGAAAAATATGACGGTCTTTCTACGAACGAAAGCAAAAGGGTAGTATATTTTCTTGGTGTTCCTGCAGTAGTTCAGGAACACTCCTGATCACGAAGCGCTAAAACATGACCGTGAGCAGTGGTGCTACATCTTCAATGCGCTTTCCCTGGACCCCGTTATCGCTAAATCACTAACGAGAATTCTTTCATCTGCAAACTACAAGGGTTGCGGTCCAAAAATATTTCAAGTCGTGCTACACACCGATGGAATGACAGAAGTCCTATTGGATAACTGGTTGAAGCATTGTTCCAGGTTGCCTACCGAGATTAGGTTAAACATGGCAGTCGCACGGCCACTAGTTTTCAGCAGTTACTTGGAACATGCAATCTCAATAAAATATTTGCCACCACAATCCTGCAGTGGTAAACACAAAAACACTCGCGATACCTGAGAGGACAAGGAAACATACGCCAGAACATCTCGAGCTGGGATGCTCCGTACTACAATTCAGCCTACCTGAAATTCAAGAACCAATGACACACGCACAACACCATTAGCGGCCGACCGAAGAAAGGTCGGCTTGAAACCAACCAGCAGTTTGTAGTCTACCCACACACTTCTAAGATCAAAAACACTATCCTGTACATATATTAACGCCAGAGTTCTTCTAAGTAAGTTGGCTGAAATTAGTGAGCGCCAGTTATCACAACCGCGGCGTTTCATTGTGACTAAGGAGACCTGGTTAAGCCTTGAGATTGCACATTCTGAAATCAATTTACCTGGTATCGCTGCTTCGGAATGATACAGCTAAAAGCGGTGTTGGCATAATTCTGTGTTACAAAACAAAACTCCGATGTGAACTGATTGACCACCCAGAGATCCGTGCCCCAGATTCTCTTTGGTGCCGGCTATGGTTGCTAACAAAGACACATGTCTTAGAGCTGTGATTTACAGTCCACCAAAATCGACGTGCGAAATGGACTCCAAACTAAACCACGTTCTTCAGGTTGCTTTAAGCAAGACATACAGTCACATTCTCATTGTAGGTGACTGCAATGTGCACGAGCTTGGAATAGCGGCGACCGCTAGCATGCAGTTCAATGCCTGTTTACAAGAGGTAATTTCCAGCTAACCTCTGTACAACCACGTGACCTCTCCCACCAGAATTCGAACTGCTAACATGCTGTCGATACTCGATCTTGTGCTCACTAACGAAGAACTCATGATCGACAGAATAACTACAAGCACACCACTGGATCACAGTGACCGTCACACAACTGTTTAAATATGTATGTTATGCGGATCATCCTGAGGCAGTGGATGATAAAATTTACACGGTCGCGCACTACTACGTGTTATCCGCGCTTGTTAAGTAGCCATCTTGGACCTTCACAACGGAATGCCTTTTAGAAAGCGTCTGGGACACTTTCACAAGCACATTTACCATACTGATGGCGCACTCGTCTGAGAAGAAATCCTTCCATGGCAAAAGGAGAAGGAAGTCGATTGTGAAGAACAGAAGACGTAAATGCATGTTCTTGAGGGACTTATCATGGAGAGCTCACAAGGACTCCCCGAATCCCGAAACCTGGACTGCCTATGTTGCATAGCGTAACTTCTGTGTGAGTTTGCTCCGCGAGGACAAGGTGACGCATCATCAGGAATAAACGAAGCGATTCTACACGAACCGCAAATTCTTATGCAGACAAGTTAATGGCAGTGCCGAATGCCAGCACTGGTCACAACTGATGGGCGCACGCGACCAGCAACGGAAGCAGCCGATCTCTTACGGTTCCATCGCACACAAACGATCCAGAGAGAATCGGGCAGAACGCTTATCCCTGTTTCTATTGTCCCATCATCAGCTTTATCCAATATTACTTTTACTGCAGTACATGTGTCAAAAAGCTGTTGACTCTGCCTATCCACAGCTCTCCTAGTGTCGACACCATTCGATCTAAGGCTTTACAGACAGCAGCCACTGATCACGCAGAACATCTGGTTGTACTCTGTCTGTGCTATATGAAGGAGAATCATATTTCGGCTGTATGTAGGCGAGGGGTCCTCACATTTATTCATAAATGAGGTAGTAGCACTGACCCAAATAATTACCGTCCGATAAAACTATTCCCTGTGCTTTCCAAGGTTATGGAGTTTATCATCGCTGATACACTCATGCAATAGCTGGAAAATCAGGACATGATAGTACCAGAGCCACATGGCTTCCAACAAATGCCGTCATGTACCACGAACCTGTTAATTGCACGCAATAGCTGAACTGAAGCAGTTGACGGTGGAGCAGGAGTCGATGTCATTTACCTAGATTTCGCAAAAGCGTTTGCTCGTTTAGACCACCGCATTCTCCTCTATAAACTTCAGCTCTATGTTGTTGGTGACCAACTGCTGCGTTGGATAGGCGATTTCCTGTAAGAACGAACCACTTCCCAAGTAGGCGATCTTTGTGTGCTCATTCAGTGACCTTAGCTCTTCAAAGCAATTAGAAGCGGCTACGAAGAGGGACAATCAGCGGGTCGGCGTACTGCGGAGAGCATTTGGAGGATTCGACCTATCTATCTTCCCCATAATGCACAATTCTTACATGCGCCCTCATGTTGAATGCGCCATCCAAGGTTGACAACCTTGGTTAAAACGCGAGTTAGTAGTTTTAGAGAAAACACAACACAGGGCCACAAAGAACCTCAAGGGCCTACGAAATTTGTCCTACCATCAAAGGAGGAAGTCACCGGGCGATACCGAAAGCTGCGCGGCGATCTCATATTAGTCTACCAAATATTGTGTGACCCCAATCATGTATGCCGTCACTTGCTGAGGGTCAGTCATAACACCAATCTCAGAGTTAAGCCTCTGAAATTGTGTGCACAATATAGCCGCCTGGAGTGCCGGCGGAATTTTTTACGCTCCGGGTTTGCCAACCCTGGAACTCTCTCACAAACGTCGTTGATTCCTACCCCACCTTGGATATTTTCAAAAAAAACAATTGGATCTTGCCCTTTGCCTCCGTCATTTAGTTGCCTCAACTGTGCTACTTTGGAATATATTAATTATCCATTCAGACCGGCTTAACCTGTTAGATTAACTTCATTAGGCTGTATTGAAGTGAGTATTCTCGTTTTTAACTTACGGAGTACATCAACTATAACTGTCCCCATGTTGCCTCGTCGTTTACATTCAATTCCCACCTACACTACTACTATTCAGCGACGAAACTGCTATATAAGCTCTCAAACAGACAATTCACAAATCTTTTGATATGGTAGTTTCGTACCCACCATCCTGCTGGACTTATGAAGCAACTGTTGCTACTCGGTATTAATCATTCTACATAGTTCATTTCTCATTGTACTGTGTGCCGTCTGTTCATGGATTTCGATCAGTTATTGATTTTAGTGTCAGAAAAGTCCACATTCATTATTCGTACTCCTGTTTCCGCTGAAGAGGGCACGATGAACAACCTTTTATAAAGTGCAATTTTGGAAGTGGGAACCCTGCGAATGTCCCCAGTTCGAATGAGTTTGCTTTTATAGGGGCGATTCATCCGTAGTTCATGGCAAACGGGGTCCAAGTTAAAACTACCTTTCAAAGGCTAAGCATATGGCGGGCGATCTAAAGTCTAAAAATAACTGCCTTTAAGGGATAAGTGCTTCTTTAACCTGCCAAAGTGGGACTTGCTTATCCGATACTGTGAGTGAAACAGCAATCATTGGTCTACATCGCGCAGCACTGGAACTTTTCGTGCGCTAATCGATCGCCAGATATTTCAAGATGGTTTATTGTTATTTTGATCGTCTTGAATGAAGCGGGAAAGGTAAGCAAAAGTGTGTCTGTTTAACCTGTTCGACGGATACAATTAACTATCAACTTAGTAACATGTAAAGTATGAGGGATCAAGATCTAGAAGCTACTAACGATCCTTTACATGAATGACAATATTTCGTCAACAATCTTTAGAGTTCACAGCGGATGCATAATTATTTTCAATCTCTCCTCATGCTTTTTACCCCTGTGTGGCTGATGTACAAATGTGGATTAAACGTTGTGCCGTTTTTCTTGATTATCACAATGGTATTAATAAGTTTAAGTCAAATTTGCCGGCTCTTTAGTTCTAACACAACGTCACGAAAACAACTCAGAACCAAATCTTTATTTTTTTCAGTCCGATCCTCCCATCGTTGTGAAGGATCTGTTTGTAGATATCAGAGATGGCGTGGCCTTGATACGCATTTTGGAGGTGTTGTCAAAGCAGAAGTTGGTACGTTTGATAACTATTTATTTGAAATTAACCCGGATTGCACTTTTCATCTTCCAGTGTTAGTGTCTCTTCTATACACAGTATTGCATTACAAACTCAGTTTAAGACGGTTGTACGTATCCAATACAGGTTGTCCGTATGCTGAATTGTCCTAATGATTCAAATATATGATTTAGTTAAACAACTTCGTTCTTTTAAATTCAAACCTAAGCTAAATGTTTCCCTCTGCTTCTTATATAAAATTCTGCTTCTTCTATCTAGCCTGCGAATGGTGAGCTGCATAACACTACCGCGCAGCTGAATTCTTGAAGCAGACAACTTAATAAACCGTTGGGAACTCAACCACCCATGGACAATGTATTTCCACACGTGGACGATTATCCATTAAAGCATCGCAAATACATGCCAAACTAGCGACCTTGTACATGCACGTCTGCAACTCGCACAACGGATTTTATATATATATATATATATATATATATATATTGCAAGTTGCGGTCCTAGTTCAATAGTTCTATAGTGTCTGATGGGGTCAAGAGCATAAGTTTACAAGACCCACCGGATGGATATGCAAAAGCAAATTAAAACCAAAATGTTCCAGCGTGGAACTTGGAGTATCAGTGGTTAAACCTTTTCACTTTATAAAGTTGTTGTGTGTGTGAAAGTCTAAGAGTATTTCGAATGTCGTCATGTTTGGTACGTTCACCACATATTTTTCTAATGCATTCCAGTGAGAATAGGTTATAAGTGAGTAAGAACATTTTATCCAATTTTAACATGAGTGTGGCCTCATTATTTTCTGGTGCTGGCCTCGACTTTGTTTGTAAGGGCGTAGTGTCATCGATGATGTATATGGATGCTGGCTTTCAGTTAATATCCGGTATGTAAGAGTAAGATCTCCACGAAGCCGTCGCTATTCTGAAGAGAACACACCGAATACACGAAGACACAGTTGGGAACTTAGACCGGATAGTCCACGCGCTGTCTTTGTGGCTCTTCTTTGGGTTGTGCCAATAGGCGAATGTTTAGTTTTAACCATGGACATCAGGCCTGAATTGCGTATTCAACGTGAGGACGAATATAGGAGTTAATCAGTATTATTACTAACCGTCGCCCAAAGGTGCCGACAGCTCGCCTCAAAAGTCTCAAGTTCAAGTTCGCCACCCTTGCTGCTTTCGGACATTGGAACAAATTGCCAAGGCTCTCTTGCACTATTACACCTAAGTCGCATTCACTAGTCACGTGTTGCAGGACGTGTTGCCCCAAAAGATATGCGTTGACGAAGCTGTTGAGCACCGTCAGCTGGTGGCACTTTGCATTGTTCAGTGGAAGCTGGTTCGCTTCTGCTCATTTGTTAATCCGAGTCAAACCTTGGTTGAGCTAGACACGGTCGGATGCTGAGCGAATCACTCTCCCTATTTTAGTATCCTCGACAAATATTTTCATCTGGGATAGAATGTCTGCTGGAAGGTCATTAATGTAGACTACAAACAGTAGGGGGCCGAGGACGGATCCTTACGGTACACCACTGGAGACGCACAGGATTGCAAAGTGAGTGCCGGCTATTCTTACCTTGGTTGCTCTATCGTGTAAGTACAATGGAACAATGAAACGAGGGTTTATTACGGGTAAAGAAGCATTGCTTAACAAGTCCTGTGGGATAGAAATTGTCGAGAGAAGTGGATTTCATGATAAAGTGAAAAGCTTTTTGATGGACTCACCATAGATTTATGTAAAATAGCGGGGACGTTCGCGTATTAAACGTGTAAATCCATAAATCCATTGGCTGGGAGTTTGGAAAGACACCGTTTGATTGCGTTTTGTAGCCACTGGCTAACAAGTCGTAAAATGAAATGTAAATGAGACAATGCATCATCAACTGGTTTTTTAAATATCGCAAGGTTGGGAGCAGAGACGACGTAATTTGGGAGGGCGTTCCAATGCTGGCAAACGCGGAGAGAAAAGAAATTTCTACGGCAATCAAGCCGGCTACACTGAATTGTCAGTTTCAGAGGGTGACCTATTAAGTTAATGTTGTAGTTCAATTCCGGCAGAGGACGGCAAATATGGTTTGAGTTCTTCAGAATTTGGTAAACCGTTATGACATCCCCCAGCAAAAGCAGATATCGACTGCTGTACATTATGTGAGATTTCAGTCTAATCTCATAGGACAAATGAAAGAGACCCATGACCTTCTTGGTTGCCTTTAGTTGAGGAGTCTCGAGAGCAACAAAATCCTGTTTTTGCCACGGCTGTCAAGCCTGAATAGCATATTCCACGTGCGGTCGCACGTAGGCGTTAAGCATTTGGGGAAAGATTGAGGGTTCAAACCGACCGAAGGCACTGCGAAGAAGGCCGAAGTGTTGATTTCCGGTTCTCGTCGCATTCTCTGCTTGTTTTGAACACCCGAGATATTCCTGTACCAATACACCCAGGTCTGGCTCCTGAGAAACCTTCTCCAAGGTGTGGTCTCCAAGCTTGTAAGTGCTCACCGGCTGGTGACGCAGATGTATCACCTTGCATTTAGCTGTGTTCAATTGAAGCATGTACCTCTTTGACCATTCATAAATGCAACCTAGCTAATGTTGGAGTAAAGCATGATTTTCATTGTTACAAATCGCCCCCCATATCTCGACGTCATAAGCAAAAGCAGACAATTTGTGGGGATAACTCTTGCCAGGTCGTTGATAAACACTAGGAATAAGCGCGGTCCCAGCACTGAGCCTTGTGGGACACCACATTCCACCTCAATTGGGTTAGAGAGTGATCCCCTAACACCTAATTGAAGCTTTCGTTGGTGAAGGAGGGTGCCAATCCAACCAAGTACAGGCTCTCCGATTCCGTAGCTCTGTAGCCGTTGAAGTAGGATGCAGTGATTAAGGCGGTCGAAAGCTTTGGAGAAGCCCAGATAGATGACGTCAGCTCCGACCCCATCATCAGCCACTTCCGTCCAACTACCTCGTGCAATCAGTAGGTTGGTGGTGCATGACCGGTGTTGACGGAACCCATGCTGCTCCGGTATCAAGATGTTGCATTTTTCCAGGTAGTTCATTAAAGCCTCAGCGACGATCGCTTCCATCACCTTCGCGAGCACAGGGAGGAGTTTCACTGGACGATAGTTTGAAGGATCTGAACGGCTACCGCCTTTAAAAATTAGGGTGATAATGCCACACTTCCACATAGTGGGGACTATGTTGTTCATCAAAGCACCTTTGGAAAAAATATGACAGTGGTTCAGCTAGCTTATTGACCACAGCCTTAGTGCCTTTGGGCGGATGTTGTCTGCGCCCGGAGAACTATGCTCACGCAGTGAGAGCAAATTCCATAGCACAGTTAATGGGTTGAAAATTACATGTGTAAACAGTGGAGTCGGTAATGTGAATGACATTATGGGACAGATAGAGGTTGCGAGTTCGAAAATTGCGGCGTAGTCTTCCAACCAAGAGTGCAGGGAACCGTTTATACAGTAGGCAGAAAGCTTTTGGAGGAGAAAGGAGTGATTGACCTTGCCGAATGCTTTAGAAAAATCCAACTAAAGCAGATCTACGGGGACTCCTTCATCAGCTGCGCTGGTCCATGAGTCTAGCGTAAGCTACAAATTGGGGAGACAAAATCGTCTGCGTCTGAAACCATGTTGAGCATTAGAAATTATCTGTGGGTTTCAAACTATCGGGTCAGTACATCTGAGGTTACCGACTCCATCAGTTTTGATAACACAGGAAGAAGAATAGCAGGGCGGTAGTTGGCAGGATCAGATCACTTACCACCTTTGTACATTGGAGTAATAATTCCATTTTCCACTCAGATGGGAATGTATGGGTGTTAAACAGACTCGGAAAAGAGCTTACGAGTCATGCTGCTATAGTGGGAGAAAGGGTTTACATTAATTTTAGGCAGATTATGTCGATTCCAGGGGCACTGTACTCCCGGAGAGACTGTAATTTGCTTGCAACGGCTGCTGGATAAGCCAACGACATTTGTTGGGAGTTGATAGGGCGAAGGTTCCATGGTTTTTGTAGCAGCCAACCCAAACTGCAGGAGTAGAGCTTTCGTAGCATTCACAACCGTCATGGCCGTCATGAGTGGTGGTATTCTGGACTTAAACTTTCTTTTGCCATTCACAAATCTGTATAGCAGTTTAGTGTTAATCATAAATTTCAGCAACATATTCTCCTGCCATTCGTACTTATCGACTCTAATGAGTGACGTGCAGTAGTTTCTGATGATTTTGTAATCCTGCCATGTGATATCACATGGGCTTGGCAAATGTTGTCTCCAGATCTCATCTTATTGTATGATCCAGTTAATATTGTCATTCAATTCATTCCATGCGTCATTCATTGAACTGTGTGTTTGTAGGTCCCAGTCAATGGTTCCTGCTAAATGGTGCAGTTGAAAATAGTCCGTAATGATTCGTTCAGTCTGTTTTCTTTATCAACAATACTGGCATAAAACACATAATCAAAACTTAGGACTGAATGGTCGCTACGGCCCTATGGTGAATCGTATGATACTGACTCAAACATCAACTCTTCATTAGTCAGGATAAAGTCCAGGAGTGATGGCTTGTTTGAACCGCGGTGTCGGTTTGGTCGATGCACATGGTTATAGGAAACTGCCATATCCATGAATTAAAGAAGCTTCCATTTCAATGACGGCCCATTAGGGGAGATTGATGCTATTGAAGGGACGTTAAAGTCGCCCATCATGATGAGTAATGAGAGTACTCTTGGGAAACATCATAGCGGACGTCGTTTAACAGAATGTTATCGCTGTCTGCTGACGAGTTCGGAGGCATGTAGATAACTGCAAATAAGCAAGCATCACTCGTCTTTTGTGAACCCACCACTTGACCTGCTAGAGGCAGTCGTCAGAATAGTGCGTCGCAAATAACAAGGGAATTTTCGGTAAGGACCTCACATATCAAGCAACCTCCAAAGTAGAGGGCAACACCGCCACCGCGAGATAGACGATCATTTCGAATGACTGACATCTCACCC